CGTAGGGTTTGTAGGTGTAAGGGTTCGAACTGTAGACCTGTCGGGTAGAGGTCTTAGGGAGTTCTAGAAGTCGTAGTTGTAGGACTCCTGAAGGGTCAAGATCGTAGCTGCTACAGTCCTGAGAGGTCAAGGTCGTAGCTGCTACAGTCTTCGAAAGGCCAGGACCCAGACTTCTGGAAGGTCCTAGTGGTGGCCTTTCGAAGTTGCTGTGGTGGAGTCTACCCGTGCTGAGTCAGCAGTCCCAGTCCCCGTCAGTCCTAGTCCAGTCAAGCAAGTACCGTGTGGGACTGTCTGTACCCAGGGCATGGGAAAGGGCCAGACCAACGAGCTACAGAAGTATAAATCAAGAGGCAGCGCCCAGCTATTGATTGATTCCTGTGTAAGCCATGCGGAAGCGCTGCCACAGCGACTTGTGCGAGGTGGTCTGCAGTAGGCCCGAAGACGAAGTGGGCGGGAACGAAGCTTAGCCATAGCGATAGGGTAGCAGCGGCTAGCCGCCATAGCTTATAGGAGAGAAAGTGGCATGTGTGAGTGTGCGAGTGTGGGATATCCAGGGTGATCCTGTGTGCGAGCAGTAGTGTTGAGCTAGTGACGAACAGAGAGTTGTACAGGCGCTGATGCACCATAGCCATCTGAAGTGAAATTGTATCTAAACTGTGTTCCGGGTTTCCATAAGTGGGCGCTTGTCGCCAGTTTGCTGCACAACTTGTGTGTATGCATGTGAAGTGTGAATGAAAGCGGGTCTGATTGCACTGGTATCGGAGCATCTCATCTTCATTGACTTGATCCGGTCTAAGGTACATACGCAAAACTTGTTGCAGGATCTTATTCATTTGTTCAGTCTGACCGTTAGTCTCTGGATGACGACCAGATGACATCAGCAACTTGGAGCCATAGACTCTCATCAGCTCGTGCTAAAGTGCAAACTCCCTAGTTTCGGGCGGCAGCCTCTGAATCTGGTCCCGATTAAGCCCTTCAACTGGTCTGCGTGGTTTGAAAGGGTTGACCTCCTTGGAGCCGACGGATGTGGTCGTGGGACATGGCAAGTTGGCTTTGGAGCTCAACATTTTGTGTCCTGGGTGTCATAGGGGGTGGGAGGGGGGGGGGAGGGGGGTAAAAAAGTGGGGGGTGGTGAGGTAGAGGAGGTGGCGGGACATGATGCCATGGGTCGTGAGGAGGATAGTGCGGAGGTGGACACTTGGGAGGAAGGGAAGGCTGCAGAGGAAGGGCGGGTCTGTGGAGAAGGCATACCCCATGGAAGAGACAAGGGTGTAGATGACGCCAGTCGAAAAAGGAGAGGAAGTAGGCAGAGATGCTGATGACGCGGGTGGGGGCGGAGGACTGTGGGATTCCAGATTTGGGAGAGGGGAGGTGTGATCCACTAGGAGGATGTGTGTGGGAAGAGGAGGGGGGGGCAAGAGAAGAGGGAGGTGTGGTGGCACGCGACTCCATCTGTAACATCCGGTCCGACAAAGTATCGAAGTTGGCTTGCATGGCCGTGAATTTGGCCTCGAATGTGGCCCGCATGTGCTGGAGGATGGCCAGTACAGGATCTGACTGGGTGGTGGGGCCCGAATTGGTGGCCAATGGGAACGGAATCTCCGCCGAGTCAGACAAGGTGTCACGAGCTAGAAACGCAAGGCCTTCGCTGATGGAGCGGGAGGGACTTGCGAACTCAACACTTGGCATAGAGTCAGGGGATGAAGAAGATGAAGAGGGGGAACTGGGACAAGGGGGCCGCTCGGTGGCAGCAATCAACGCGTCAAAGCGAGCGAGTCGGTGTGTGGCACGGGCGTCTCGGGCGATATTTTGGAGTACGCGCTGCTGGTTGTCTCGGGGAACCAGATTGGCATGCAGAAAAGGGGGCAAGAAAGGAATGCGTATAGAAATGAGCTCTAGCGAACTTCCGAAATTGAATCAAGACAATTCAAAATCAGATTGAGGGAGGAAGGGGAAAATTTCCAATTGGAGCAAGGAGAATGAGAACAAATTTTCACAGAATGGCGTGGGGCATAAAGGAAAGCATGCGTAAGACCATCACGAAGTCAAAATAGAATTCCGAAATTATTTGGACGTAAATTCGGAATTTAAAGAAAATTCAAACAAAAATTCACCAAATTCCAAAATTATTCGTAAAAAATTCCGAAAGTTTGGGAGGGTGACAGCAGAGATACAGGTGAGTTCAGAGGAAAAGTTTGAGAGAAAAGGAAAAATGATGTGGCGTATTTCTGGAATTAAAAGAATTTCGAAGGGAATTCAAAATAAAAATAGGGAACTAATTCTTTAATTAAGAATTTACGACGAAATGGCAGAAGGAATTAATGACAGCCAGTAAAATAAATCAAGATAAATTTCGAAATTATTTAGATTAATTTAAGAAAATTTAGCAACACATTGCCAATTTAAAAGGAATTTCAAAAGAAGTTACAAAAGAATCTTGAAAAAGTTGCAAAATTTCGGAATTTTACGGGAAGAGGAAATAGAAGTCGAGTTGTGAAACGGTATTCACCAGTTCGCAGTAGCAAATGCAGATCCCAGGGCTCGATCCCTAGTTCCCCATCTTACCTGTGTACAGTATTGATGACAACCCGTAGATTTGAACCTGCGACCTGTCGAAACGCCAGTGGTAGGTAGATTGTCGTAGGTCACAGCTTAGAAGGGAATCGAACTGTAGACCTGTAGGGTAGGAGTCTAGACAGTTCCGAAGTCGTAGCTGTAGGATGTCT